CCACAGCAATCAAATTAAGTGATGTATCATTCGATTTTGCGCAAAACATTTGCTTTTTGTGCGAAACCATGACGCGAAATTGAATTAAGAGCTGGCACATTAGACCACTTGTGATAGTGAATCCGATTTACATCAATCAAATCATTTCAGTTGACCGCGTAAAAACGTGCAACAAACAATTAAGGAATTAACCTGCAAAAGGCCGAAAGAAGATCCATCGATGCCCACATGACACGTATGCCTCAGCTCACCTTGTGGTTCACTTATTACCAGCTTCTTCTTCTTACATTTATCCTTATCTTTCTCTTTACTCTCCTTCTCGCATCCATTCAGTTTCTCGCTTGTAAGTGCACGGCTCAACAACGACGTACTGAAATCCAGTTTTCCGGTTGGATTTTCCGCACCCAATCTCGCGACCGTATCTGCTGGTCGAAAGAGACCCGTTCGGCCATTCCGCATACAACCACTCCAGTAATATCCATCCGGATAGGCGGAAGGACTGAAATTTCCGCATGAAACTACAAATGGTGAGTACAACTGAGTTGATGATGATGTACAACTGAGCAGTTTTGTGAGGAACAGTGGAAATTCTAATGATGAANNNAGCACAAGAATAACTTCATTTTTGGCGAACTGCAAATGATCCGGCACACCGTCTTGACAAGTGCACACGGTCAGCAGTGCTTGAGGGTATATGTCAGGCAACTGATGCAGAATGTCAGTGAACGACGGCCTTTCTTCGGGTACATGTGCCCAACATTGCAACATTAATTTGTACATTTCGGATGGGCATGCAGCTGGACATTCCAATCGTTGCAGACGCGGATAGTCGATTGCAGTGAGAATCTGCAATGTCCAATGCTCAACTTTCGTGATATCCATTCGCATGAACTCATTTTGAAACACTCATAAAATTTTGCACTATTATCTGCTTTCGAAATTTGATGATTCCGAGAGAATTTGAAAGATGTGAAGAGAAATTCTCAGCAATTATATTCCTAAAACTGAATTTTGAAAACGTTTTTTTTTTGTGCGTCAAATTGTCTCAATTTCCGTCTCAACACTATTGTACATTTGTTTGATCAACAATGACCAACAATCAGAATGTCAAAATGAATGTTGATAATCAAAGCGATATGCTTATCTTATCAGTGCTAAACTATCTATCTTTCTCAGCTTTTTTCTGCTNGTTGATAATCAAAGCGATATGCTTATCTTATCAGTGCTAAACTATCTATCTTTCTCAGCTTTTTTCTGCTAAAATTCTAACTTTCAAGCAAAACTAAAATCAAAAAATACAAAAATTCATATCTAACAGATCAGTGCCTACGATTTTTCAAATTTTTTCATCGTTCTTTATAAGAAAAAAGAATCTTATAATCTCTTGCTTGCAAATCATCAATATTATATTCTCCAACTATTATATTCTCCAAACAATTCTCCATTGTCAACAAATGATCAAAAAATGTTATGTAAATTTTAAATCAAAATATCAGCTGAATATTGTCATCTCTAATGAATTCAAATAGTATGACGCATGAACAATGGCCGATGCCATTACTCCAATTGTTCTTCTCAAACATTTCTACTATTCAGCGACAATCAGCAACAGCAGGAAATATGGAAACTCAAACTTCATCAAAACAGAGCCATCGTAAAGCGGAATTCGAACTTTCAGTGCGATAATTCAATACTCCTGAGTGAA